AGAAATAATGCCAAAACAATAAAGTAAATTAAAGCAAAGGGTTTTTGAGGTTCTTTTATGCAGTCACTATCATGGAAGAATATGCATCCCTCCTGTTAAACCTTAGAAGGCAGGTAACACTACAACTCATGAGCTGTCACATTTGGATTGGTTTATCAGACAGAATATTTGAGAATGCGATGCACGAATGATGTTTGTATGAGCTCTTCAAGCCAAATGTAGCAGATCAAGATTTTAAAACCTTTTTTTTATTTGTTTATGCATTTAAAACCTACTGGTTTGACTAATCCAAATTCACACTAGTCCGACTAATTTAAATATGCATCATGTAGAGCCCATTAAAGGGGAATCACGCTTGCTACTAACGGGTTACTTCATTTTCAAGACTCGAAACTAAGATATATTTAGTTAAGAGTAGAGAGATTTAGTCTATCCCACCATACCCCTTGTTAATGGTCCTATTACGCATTCGGAACATATTGGTCTGACTGATCTGTATTTACACTGATCCAACTTATTCAAATTTACATCGTGTATTGTCTACTAGATGTTTCTCCGTTTCTGGAATTCGAACCTAAGCTTCTGGTTAAGAGTGAAGGGACTTAATCCATCCCACCATACTCCTTGTTAAATGCACTATCATGCGTTCAGAACATATTGATCTGACTAATTCGAATTTATACTGGTTTGACGAATCCGAATTTGCAACACGTATTATCTATTAAAGGGAGAAGCGTTTTATATAAGGAGTTTTTTCATTTCTAGAGCTCGAACGGACGCCTCTAGTTATAAGTGAAAGGACCTAATCCATCTCACCGTACCTCTTCTCGGTGGTCCTATTTTTCTATTAACCCTTTAAAGTGCCTTTAGTACATAGTATAATCTTGCTTGAAAATTAATATATATACCACAATGCCTACATTTTGTATCATTTAATTCTATCCCTCATTCCCTCTTCTCCCCGTACCAATCTAGCTAGCCCACCTTTATTGGATTTGTAATGGAGAATCAGTCTCCTAAATCAAAATCCTTAATCCAAAAAGAATTGCCAACTTGTTATAAAGAAGTGGCAATAGAATCATTATCAAGATATTTCAAGAATCCTCACATTTTGGAAGGTCTAAATGATGAGAGTTCTATAACTTCTTTTCCCAACATGAAAGAAAGATTGGTTTCAAGTTCAGATTCAACTTCTTCAACAAAATTCTCTGAGTTTTTTCCTCTCAATTTCCTTCAAAATGATCAAGGGAATAACAATATTATTCCTTTGAATAATTTTCTTGAATCTTTTCAACATCATAATCAAGTGTCTGATCATCAAACATGTTCTTCACCAAATTCATTATCAAATAATTACCCAACTTTAGGATTGTTTCTTCAGGAGCCTTCCATTTTAGAGATTTCAAAAAGAGCAGAAGAATCTCTAAACAACAAGAGCCACAAGTATGACACTAATTCTTCTTTATTCCACTTTCTTCACTAATTTCTCCTTTATTTCCATATGTATATATATAGTTGGTGCGATTATGATATGCAGTCAAACATGTCTATAACAGTCAACCTTTATAACAACATTTCACTATAACGGCCATGTTGTGTTGGAAATCTTATATTATATGTTCTCTATAACAGTATTTCACTATAGCATCCAAAAAATATCAGGACAAAGAATATTGTTATAGAGAGATTTGGTTGTATCTTCAAGCTCTCAAAACGTTTGTTTTTCTTTTTGGAACTGATTTTTCATGTTATCTTATATTATAGTATGTTCTTTGTAATACCATATCGCTATGGTGGCCAAGTAAATGTCGGGACAAAGAACGTTATTATAGAGAAGTTTGAATGTATGTTCAAACTCTCAAAACGCTTGTTTTTCTTTTTGGCCAGGACATCAGCTGACATATTTCCAATGTCTTCACTAGATGAAAGCCAAATCCATCAGCAGCAACAGGCTGCAGCCACAACAAGTACAACAAATTGGCTGAAAATGAATCAAACCTTAACAAATTGTACTACCACAAAAGGTTTTAGTGACTATTGGCTTAGTACTACAAAAACTCAGCCAATGAAATTCACAACAGGATCAAGAAAATCATCACTTCATTATAATCAAGGTAATCAAAAGTCGTCGTCGTCTTCTTCTTCTTCTTCTTTGATCGCGACGTCTCAAGGGAAACTATTTAGAGGAGTAAGGCAAAGGCATTGGGGAAAATGGGTAGCAGAAATAAGGTTACCAAGAAACAGGACAAGAGTTTGGTTAGGTACATTTGATACTGCTGAAGAAGCTGCTATTGCTTATGATACTGCTGCCTATATGTTAAGAGGAGATTATGCACATTTGAATTTCCCACATTTGAAGAATCAATTAAAGGCAAATTCTATAAATGGGAATACAGCAGCCCTTCTCGAGGCGAAAATTCGAGCAATTTCAACACAAACAAAGAAGGCTAATGAGCACGATCAATCTACAAAAGAAGTACTATTAGCTACTGATGATTCAACATTGAAAATCAAGAATGTGATCAGTCAGAATCAAGAAATGGAAAATTCTGAGAAAAAGGTGAAGAATATTAATCAAGAAAGGTTATTATCAGAAAATAATATTGATGGTGTTCAATTAAGTAGAATGCCATCTTTGGATATGGACATGATTTGGGATGCACTTTTAGTTTCTGATTCATCCTGACCTTCAACAGATGTATTATTTTTTTCTTTTTCATTTTTTTACCAACATTATATTTCAGAAGGGAGTCTTGGAGTAACGGTAAAGTTATTTCCGTGTGATATATAAGTTACGGATTTGAGTCGTGGAAGCATCCACTAATACTTGCATTAGGGCAAGTTGTTTGGATCACACCCCTAGGGATACATCCCTTTCCCGGACGTTGTATGAATTCAGAATATTTTATGCACCGGACTGCCTTTTTATTATATTTCAACATTAAGAGCATACATAGGTGTTTCTTTTCTTCTTCTTTTTTTCTTTTGGAAGATTTATGTGGCAGTGGTTGGATTTTTGTACATGTTGTTCAAGAGGGTGTTCAACACCTTTTTTCATCATGTAAATTTTTGTTTTTAATGGACTCTAAGTTTGCTTTGTGTGTGATTTATCAGCCTGGTGCTTTCGGTTGACTCAATGTTTTAAGAAAGTTAAAATTAGATACTCAAAAATTACACGGGAAATACTACAAGTCGCAATTGTTCTCACGTCATATTAAAAAAAAGAGATTTTAAATTGGCTCGAATATAAAAATTATAAAAAAAGATTCAATTTTACGATGAGAAAATTTATACGCGTTGTTAAGAAACTATGAGGTTTGATGTTCTTGATAAAATATTTTAAGCTTATTTTGAGGTTGCATTATGGACGCCGCAAAATCTACCAATACATGTACCTGGTAACTCTATACTATCAAAGCTTGAACAAATATAAAAAAGTCACCTAATATTTTTTGCCTCCACGCGGGTCTAAATATGAGATCTCAGGGTTCTCCTGTACTCCATTGACCACTAAGCTTTTACTCTAATGTCAATTAGAACCAATTTCGATAGAGGGGATTCGGATGAACTCCTTCTGTCCCTAGAGCTCCGCCCATGCATATACGTCCATCAATTATTATAAATGGTTTGCTAGGTCAATATTTCATTAATGTACCATAAAATAATTGCATAACATCACAAATACAAGCTTTGGTTGATCTCGTTAACCTATTAGTTACCCATTTTTCAACAAATTTCTTTTTACTATGTTCTTAGAAGTGGTTCATGTCAAGTCTTCCCAAAAAGCTTCACAAAAGCTGAGACCATTTCCGAAGGTAGATCTTATATTGTCTAATGTTTATATTTATATTTCACATAAAGTATTTTTGCTCTCTTAACTAGACTATATAAGTTACTAACAATATTCATTAGAACATACTTGTGCATGTTCATCTTGGTGCAAATAATTACGGGCATTAATAGAAGGTAATGTAAAAGCAAGAACGAAATTACGATTGACCACCAGGAGTTGTGGTGGGATGAATAAGATCCCCCTTTAATAGACCTTACGCGGCACGAATCTTAATTTGTTAATACTTAAAATATTATTAAGAACAAATTCCATGCGTTGAAAGAGAAATTAAAGTGTTTAATTTGTTGTAGGATTGTCATGAGTCATGATGTTCCAACTTACAACTTGTTCATCATTATCAGTGTGCTAAATTCGTTTACTTTGGAATTTACTTATTTAAATAAAAGTATAAAAATCGAAGTCAAATACCTCTTGTTTTGTCAACCCATCTCAAGGGGTTGACTTTATCATTTTCTAATAATAGAGTGCAATTTAAACTTTTTTTTCCCTTTCCTTAGTCATAAGACTTTTGACTTTTCTTGATTATAATATCACTAAGACTATTAAAGCCAAATAAATTATTTAAAATCAAATAGTATGTTATTGTTGAGTAATGGCTCTTACACTATCACTAAGACTCAAGAGAATAGCTTTGACAACGTACAAACTTGTTGGTTAAGCTAAAGAAAAAAAGTCTTCTAATTATTCAAAAGAAAATAGTTGACAAATTGTTGATATAATTAAACAAAGCTTTGGAAAGTTACGAGGAACTTTAATTAAATCAATGTCGAAATGCACAAGCACATGACATAAGCATCACTAGTTAGTAGTTATTATAAACTGAAAAAAAGATTGGTTGGTCGGTATTTGCATAACATAGAATAATTGCTAGATAATCAATTTAATAAGTACTTTTGAGCAGGAACTAACGTTTGGCCAAACTTTTAGAAACTGCGTCTAAATAATTTTATTTCAAAAGCGTATGTGCAGAAAAGTTACTTTTTTTTGCTTATCAAAAACTATTTCGGTTTCTAATCGAAAGTACTTTTTTTCTTCCTAGAAGCTTGGACAAACACCTCAACTTTGTTAAAAGAACACTTTTTTGGCCGTGGAGAAACTCGGTCAAACAGGCTATTAGTCTCCTATTTTTAACTATGCATAGAGTACTTGAAGAGCAAAAGACAGTTATCTTTAATGTAAGCCCGTGCCATTAACATCAAAATGGTTCATACTTCCAAGTTGTGTCCCAACTATGCTAAAAACTTGACAATTGACCAACAAATAATCACTAAGTCAATAGGCAACTACAGTTAAGATAGGTGTTATCTCTAGGAAGTTAACTAACTAAGTATGCCATGTTATATTTTCTCCTTAGTTGGTAATAAACTTTTATCTTCTAGGAAAAACAAAACTTTTTCCTTACTATGTTGAAGTTCTTGTTTATCAGCTTCATCTTCTTCTTCCTGCATTTCTTTATCTTCACATTCAACCATGTCTACTCTCTTAAGCAACTCGAATTCCTCTACATCGCTCAATGCTTCCACGGCCACGTTGTTGGTTGCCTTTGGAGTCTTCGCATCTAAATTCGGGTTTGTGCCTTTGTTGTTCTCCCAGTTGCTCTGTGCACATTTATCGGAACTTGGTCTGTACTCCGGACTCCAAGAAACGTTTCCATTTTCACTTGGAAGTTCACTCTGCACATCCATCATATCAACGTTGTGTTCAAGAGGAAGTTGCATTTGTAGCGGATTACTAACAACTTGCCCTGTTTTTAATCTCTGGCGATAGTCTTCCATCTCCAATCTGTATCGTTCTTTGTCTTGCAAGGCTTTCTCCTGATAAATCTGAACTCAACAGAATATAACCATTGGAAGTAGTTAGCATGAAACAAACAAGAACAAGTATATGTCTTGGAATATATAAATCGGAAAAAGTGTCATATATAGCGTTGCACTATGCGAAATATCTCAATTTTACTATCAGTTATACTTTGGAGCCATTCATACCCTAATGTAATTCCCTAATGTAATTCCAACTCATGTACAATGGAGGGTAATTTTCGACCAGTCAAAAGTAGAGAGAGAAATTTGGACCATATACCTAAAGTATTTTGACCAGTGGAATCCACTTAGTCCATGCTGGAGTTCCGTTAAAATCAAGGACGTGTACCAGACAATTTGTCAACGGCAAGAGTATGAATGACCCAAAGTACAACGGAGGGTAAAAAGATATTTTGTAAAATAGAGGGGTAAATTTGGACCTTTTCCCTATGTAAATTATATATCATTTTCTTACCATTTTCTCGGGTACGTTTAGGTTGTTCCACAATTCACCTATCATCCGACTAATCTCCCTATCCTTCCCAGGATAGAGAGGTTTCAGCCTGGCGTGTTGCTCTGCGAAGAAAAAATTATAACCACTTCTGTTAGGCTTAGGGTGTGCAGGATCGCGCTTCTTAATTTCACATTTCTTCCTACGCTTTCTTCGAACTACTCCAGTTGCTGATGCTGCTTTCCCCGTGTTATAAACAGGTAGATTCTGATTTTGCAACTCTTGATGCATTGTGTTGATTGGAACCTGATATAGAACACCTTTAAAATCTTCAGAACCGATCTTCACTGTAATAAGATATCCACTTTCAAACTTCCCATCAATGACACCACAGACTGGCGAACCTGTCGATGGTGATGCAGTTTCTGCGAGCACAAAAGAAATATTTCGATTTTTTTATTTCATTACTTTAACAAGAGGAACTTCATTTCCAAAAATCTGTATATAATCAAATAGTAAGAAACCACTCAAACAGATACATACAAAAAAGGGCCCCAATCCGGTTACCACAACCTTTAATACTTTTCAGCTTTTTTGGCAATTCGCATGCGATATAAAATCTAATTAACTCATGAACCCACAGCGCAACGCCACAACCCATGTCAAAATAATTATGTAATTGTTGCTATTCACATCATTTGTATAGATTTAGACTATGCTTGGTCGATGCATTATCCCCTTCAGTTGAGTAATAGTGTCATTCCTTACTTGATTTCCCTTTAAAGTTTTCAGTCAGACCATATTCAGTGTTCACCCATAGAAGAGAGTAAATTACTGCTGCTTTTAACTTGCAGAGGTCCTGTCTTCCTTCGGAATTTGTCATAAGAAACTAGAAAACTGGCTTTAGTGTGTGATCATGCAAATAATTTAGCTGGATTTCGCCCCTAGGGCTTCCCATAAGTGGTAAGATCGCAGCGAGTTGAAGCCTGTTGCGGAGGAAGCCTGGTATTTAAGTGAAGATGGGTAGTGGAAGTATTTAAGATTTTTGCTGTTTATATGGCTGGAAACTGCATACTGGTTTAGCGACTTAGGATATAATGATGCAGATTTTGTTGGTAAAGAGTGAGGTAGTGTTCAACATAAACGAAAAAAAAGTTTGGTGATTTTTCTCACTTGCCTAAGTTTAGGTGGGCAGAGTTACCGGTACTTGTACTGGTAGGAGGTTGCAGGTATCTAGTGGAATAGTCAAGTTGTGTGGAAGCTCGTTCAAAGTAATGAAAAGAGAGATAGGAGGTTGTGTTTCTGACATGAAAATAGAATACATTCCAGACAAAGGCAAATATTTTTAGAAGGGCAAAAGTTATCTGAATTCTAGTTTCTACTTGGTACTGTTTGGTTTGTGGATAAGATAAGGTGGAAGTAGTCTCTCTTCTTCTCTAAGAACTAGCAAGGGCATGCCCGTGCAATGCACTGGGCCCAACACAGTTCTAATCTTGGAAAATAAGAAAAAGGTTATGGCTCACTTAAATGTCATAAAACTTCTGTACAAGAACTATACCCATGTATATAAACAACTCGAATATCACCTAATTCCAGTAATACAACCAAAATATATTATACATATACTCATGCTAATTATTTCTAGATAAAGTTGTTACTAAAGCTAAATAAACCTTCATAGTTGAATAGTTGATTCCAATTCATCTTACTCCATCTCAGACATCTTCAACTTGAGATCACAAGTTATTTGCTATTGAAAATCTTTCAGGAGACACATAGACAACAATCAATCCAATCATGAGCATGAGCTTACCAGCCCGAAAAGTAAAACAAAAAATGAGGATGCAACCTGCAACATCAACTGGTGGAGTAGGGGATTAGTTAGTTGGATCTTTGTACAACATATATAACAATGACAATAAAAAATCTTGTCACAAGAATATTAGAGAACTCAAAATGTAGATACTACTTAATGCCTTTCCAATATGGAAAATACTTTCTAATAATCACTGTACGATTTAAAGAAAGTAATAGATGCTAATACCTACTTCAACCATGCAAGTGCAAGTGCAAGTGTTGGCAGGTGTTCATGTACCAAAGCAGCAATCTAAAGTAGCATTATACCTCAGCTGAACAATATCTGAGATCAAACATGCATCGATAATGCTTGATAGGCTAATGTTAATTGTATTTTGCGTTCAGGAAGTAAGGATGAACTGCAGAAGTATAAAAAATGTGAAGTATGAGCAGCCTATGATTTCTATACTCACATCAACTCGGTTTTCACAGAGTACTAAAAAAGCTTTGAGTTTGCATGCCTTCGAGAAGCTTACAAGAATCCCAGTATATGAAATCTTCTTGTTTAGTTGTTTCAATGACATAGGGCATGAGGGATCACGCAGCAAGCGTTTTCTTTAAGGATGTAAGTTATTTTTATAGGTAATTTTGTTTAAGAACTGGCTGCATAAGTAAATACACCAACATAACCAAATTAGATTAGTAATTCATATCTTTTGGAAGCAAATGAGACAACACATCATATTTTAAGCTCTAGGTTTGCTTAATCAAGTTTATAGCATCATATTCAAGAAATTCACCTGCCCCACAAAGATAAAAATAAAAAGTGGTTAAGATGTGTCAGAACAACAAACCCAAATAGAGCGATAAAGCAGTTCAGAGAGACAACCAGTGAGAAAGAAACTGAGAAAGACGGTACCTGAAATTACACTACGGGAGATTTCACACGTAAAGAAAGGGATTGTCGTCTACAGGTTGTACAAAGGGCTTTTCAAATCAGCCTTTTCCAATATGGTGGTACAGTTTAAATATTAGAGAAGGATGGAGCAAGACTTTGGAACTAAACTAAAAGAATCTTAGTGCAGATGAGTACCTCAACTACAGCACCAAGTTGGCAAGTTCTGTGTCAATACTTTGATATCTCTTGTGAACAACCTCTGCCAAAGAACCATCCTATTCTAAATCAGTAAGATAGTTATTATTTTTTTACAGTTATTACATTCTTATTCAATTGGTTCATCCTTTGAAGAAAGATTGAAGGAGCAATAACAAGGCCTGCATCGAGGAAGGAAAACTACCTCAATTAGCTTTGCGGGACTCCTAAGACAAAGGGGGAGAGTGTGCATACCAGTAATATAAGCAATGAACAGGTCTTCAATATCAGTGCTCTCCCTTCTCCTTTACCTAGCAGTATATTTAAAATTTTGAATTATTTACTTGTCGTTTTCTTCTTTCTCCCTAGTAAGATTTAATGATTTTTTGTGTAGCTGTTGTTAACCTAAACACAAGGAGGAGAGCCACTTCCTAGTCATGCTCAATTTCTCATTACAGACTGAGCTACTGGATTAAGTAACATAATTTGTAACCTTGAAGAAAAACACACATGAAGACAAACTGAAACTCAATTTCATTTTGCATAACTATTATGTGCAAGTTGTCATTCAAGGTATTACATCTTGTGGAGAAAGCCTTCACTCTATTGAAAACTAAATTTCAGTACATAAGCAGAATAGCAAGAAGTACCCATTATCCAAGCCCATAGCCACATCTAACGAAAATAAAGTAAGTAGCTTAGAGAGAGAATGAAATCAGACTATTAATATTTTATCACATATAAATTATCTTGGATTGGTAAATTTTATATCCATATTCTCAGCTATAATTCTCTAATCAATCTAATCATATAGGAAAAACAATCACTAAAAAATAAGAACTCACTCCCCCTCATTTTTTTCCCTTTGCTCACAGGAAATAACAAAAACAAGACATCTACATTTTAATATGCAAAAACAGGAACCTCATCCAGAAAATCCGCATAAAGCAGGGAAGCAAGAGCAGAAGAGAACTTAATATACCATTATTTATGATCCTGTATAATCATCTTTGTGAAAAATTAAGTAGAAAAAGAGATGCATGGCAAGCCAGAATGAGCGGTCAATTGCATATCAGTTGTTGATCGCCAGAAGCGACTAAACCTGTCGACATCAAAGAATACCATCGAGATATAGGAAATTTAACCAAAGGTTTTGATAACCAAGAGAATAAATAAATATAGGTGTTAGAGTTCATTTATTACCTCTAAACATGAGACACCAATCAGATGAGTAGAGCAAGCAGTTTCTATGCAGTCCTTACCCGGTCAGTCCCCCTAAATTTACAAGTAACACTACGTGCATTTGGAGAAAGATCAAACTTCAATATTAATGGTAATCAACAACATAATTCTATAACTCTTGTTTAAGTACAAATAAAGTTGATCTGTAGCAGCATAACATTAAAAAAAAATTTAAACTTACATACCAATACATATCTAGCCTGTTAATACAAAGAGGAAGGACATGTATATAAAGACGCCATTATAAGGGCAGAAAATAAATATGCAGCAAGAAATGAAGATCAAAGAACCAAATAATATCTCAAATTCACAATTTTAACGAAAAATGAAGAAAACTTTAGTACCTAAAACCAACCAAAACAGAAGTAGCAGTGTGCAAATATGAAAAGAAGAATTTAACCAACCTGTCGAAATGCTTGAAGACATACAGGAGGGGTACACCTTCTTTTAAAGAATCTGCAATTAAATAATCTAAAATTCCATCTTAAAAAAAATAGATATACTCGAACATAGAGAAAAAGAAAAAAAGCAAAGTAGAAGCAGCTAAAAATGGGCATAGGATGACTGATTAGGAACGACACAAAATTAGGAAGAAGGGAAATGGAATTAAAGTGGATGGCAGACGTTCCACAGAAATAAAAAAGTAAAAAAGTAACCACGTGTCAGTGAAAAAAGGAAATTGTTAATGAGTTAGTCTACTGCATTAACATATTATAAAACAACATTGTTTTAGAACCCACATATCATAAAAAAAAAAAGCACATTTACTTGCGGAGGCGGATCCAAGATTTCATGGCTACGGATGCTATTATTTTAATATAAAACAATCACTAGCGAAGAAGATTGAATTAGGGTGTACATTCAGTCGATTCGATCCGTTTTGGATTACTTCGGTTCTGTTCGGTTCGATCCATTTTGAATTTATTCAATCCGATTTAAAATTTAATTTATGCATAAACGAATATGTGATACACCCCTTTCATCTACATGTAACTGATTAATATTATATTATATCTTTAATGCATCACTATTAAAAAAAATTTATAATTAATAAAATAACATTATATGGATAAAAAAAATGATTAGATTACATCCATCCAAATAAAATACGAACAAATATTTAAGATGAAGAAAATAAGAGAAATTAACAAAAACAACAAAAAGGGAACAACAATTGCATTAGGAGAGTCTTGATCCCAAGTGTTGTCCATGGAATTTCAGCACTTCATCCGAGGCAATTCAATCATTTTGTGACTTAGGGTGCCACTTGTTCATTATGTAGGCATTTTTGTAGAAAATACTAGTATGTATATAAAATTTTATCCGAGCGACCGAGTGGCGTGCCACCCCAACTCAATACATATATCCGCCCCTGTTTACTTATACAATGAAAATAGAGAGGCACGCAGGGAGTTCAGATAACACAAGTACTGCATTTTATCGCCAATAGGTTGACAAGCACATTAGAAGGATTGTTATTTGGATATACATTTCTGTTGACCTAGATAGTAAATAAATAGAAGAAAAAATTAATAATATTAATCATGTAAATCTTACTATTTATATAGATACTCCGGACAAAGAGATAGAATAAAAGTTTCTGCTAATGATGAATTCCCGAAAAAAACAACATTACTAATTGCAGCACGATCAAAATGCAAGACACCATGAAAGAATCATTCTTACTCATTTTCTTTCATGTAAAAGCTAGCTCCATTTTTCAGATACAAACGAATATGCAAACACATTACCAGTAAAGGATATGCTGCATATTTCAGTGTCATACCTATAATTGCCAAAACATATTTCAAATGTCCCATATTTGTGTTATCAAAAGTTATGTCCTTGCAAATGGATAGATAATTATGTTAAAATCACCTATGGGGAAAGAAAAGGAATAGAATTTTTTTTTCTTGTTTTAGGCATATTGTCAAACACCTTAATTGCACCAAGTTCTTCCTTTCTAATTAGACTTTTTTATTCTACAACTCAATGTGCTTAGTGCTAGAAGCGTTCAAACAATAAAAACCATATGCATAAACAAAATCTACCCAAGAAATTTTGAGAAAGAGAAAAAAACAGATGCTTGTAAACCTAATCTATTTTATATTGAATTAAAAAGAAAAATAAAGCACAAATGCATGCTCACTTAATAGTCTATAAAAAGTAAAATAAAAAATTTATATTCTCACCGAGAAAGAAAGGAAAATTTAGCATATCTCAGAATCTTCTTCCATTTTCAGGATTTTTTATTTTATCGACCATGATAAATTGATAATGCATATTTTTGAAGTGTGTATTATTAGCTGCATATACACAAAAACACCGCAGGATAATTAAACAATACAAATGAACAAAGATTGAAAGAAATATCCAATCAATCAGTGAATACCCAATTGAAAGTTATGAAGAATACCAGTGAATTTTTATTAGATATATTTAGTTGTTAGATATTATAATATCAAACTAATAACAGTACTTTATTTCATATAGGTACTTGGGTACATTAAAATCATATGTTCGTAATCGTTCATGCCCAGAAGATTCAATAGCAAAAGCATATATAGCAAATAAATGTTTGGCATTTTGCTCACGATATTTGGAGGGCGGAGATTCAAGGTCTTATTGCTCAAGAAAATGCGATGACAACATTGAGCATGAAACTAGTAAAGAAGAATGTCTTTTTCCTATTGTTGGAGAGTCCTATGATGGAGTAGATGTATTTGAGTTGGATGAGAAAATATGGTTGCAAACACATCGGCATGTGCTTTTCAATTGCGAGTCAGAGGTGGTTGAGAATTATAAAAAGTAAGTGTTATATGTATTATTGAATATATGTATGACTTATTTGATAATAAAATAATATATGCGAATTACATGAATAGGGAACATATTGCTGAAATCAAGAGATCACATCGTAAGCGTCGTTTGTGTAGGGTCCATCCCATAAATTAAGAAAGAAAACTTTCTTCCTTTAATTGGTAGCCATCTTTTCTTTTGCATTGTCAAATATGGTAGACAACATAAGAAAAATGCCAAATTGTTAGGCGGAAGAAAGAAAAAATTTGCATTGCAAATTTTCAACCAATCCTTCATTCTGATTGGTTGAAGAGGTAGGCTATTTCTCCTATAAAAGGAGAGCTTCGGCTTCTTCGTTTCATCACACAGAAAGAGAAGCAACACAATAGTTGCAGAGAGTATTTCTCAGGCATTGCGTGAAATAGGCTGTGTAGAGGAAAATAGAGAGTGAACGATATTGTAGTGAGGTGAGAATATCAAAAGAGGGTTATTTCTTTTGAGTGTTGTAGTGGTATTTGGAGTATTTTACTCGGACCTACAAAGTGTAAAATTCCTTGCTATAATTATATTAGTTGCTCGTCTCGGGGCCGTGGTTTTTTCCCTTATTCAAAAGGGTTTTCCACGTAAAAATCTTGGTGTCGTTGTCACTCTTTTATTCTTGTTAATTACCGTATCTCGGTACTACATTATTATTTTACTTTTAGTACCGTGAATATTATTTTTGTGGGGGTTTATTCCCAACAACTGGTATCAGAGCACAAGTTCTGCTCGTTCACAGAAAACTGTTCACTGTCGGTAGTACTATACTCGGTGAAAAATAAAAATGTCCGGAGTAAAGTACGAGGTAGCAAAATTTAACGGAGATAGTGGTTTCTCAACATGGCAAAGAAGGATGAGAGATCTGCTCATCCAACATGGATTACACAAGGTACTAGATGCTGATGCCAAAATGCCTGATACCATGAAAGCTGAGGATTGGGCTAACTTGGATGAAAGGGCAGCTAGTGCAATCAGGTTGCACTTATCAGATGATGTGGTAAATAACATCATTGATGAAGACACCGCACGTGGCATTTGGGCAAGATTGGAAAGCCTATACATGTCCAAAACGCTAACAAATAATTAGTACCTGAAGAAGCAGCTATACGTCCTACACATGGATGAAGGTACAAATTTTTTGTCACATTTAAATATGTTTAACGGACTAATCACACAGCTCGCCAATCTCGGAGTGAAAATAGAGGAAGAAGATAAAGCCATCTTGCTGTTGAACTCGTTGCCATCTTCGTACGATAATCTGGCAACAACCATCCTGCACGGTAAGACTACCATTGAGTTGTGTCACATCGGCTCTTTTACTCAATAAGAAGATGAGAAATATGCCTGAAAATCAAGGACATGCTCTCATCACAAAAGGTAAAGGCATGGTTTATCAAATGAGTTCGAGCAACTATGGTAGACTCGGAGCTCGTGGGAAGTCTAAGAACCGATCCAAATCAAGAGCTAGAAATTGCTACAACTGTGATCAACCAGGTCATTTCAAATGAGATTGCCCAAATCCAAGGAAGGGCAAAGGTGAAATTAGTGGCCAGAAAATGACGACAACACAACCGCCATGGTGCAAAACAATGATAATGTTGTCCCTTATATAAACGAGGAAGATAAATGCATGCACTTATCAGGTCCAGACTCAGAATAGGTGGTTGATACATCGACATCTTACCATGCCACACTGGTAAGAGATCTTTTTTGCAGATATGTAGCAGGTGATTTCGGCCTTGTGAGAATGGGTAACACAAGTTACTCAAAGATTGCGGGAATTGGTGACATTTGTATCAAGACAAATGTCGGATGCACATTAGTTCTAAAGGACGTGCGACATGTACCTGATTTACGGATGAACTTGATCTCGGGAATTGCCTTAGACCGAGATAGATACGAGAACTATTTTACAAATCAAAAGTGGAGATTCACCAAGGGATCATTGGTGATTGCAAAGGGAGTTGCTCATGGCACTTTGTACTGGACAAATGCAGAAATATGCCAAGGTGAATTGAACTCGGCACAATATGAGATTTCTGCAGAGTTGTGGCACAAAAGAATGAGTCATATGAGCGAGAAGGGATTGCAGATTCTTGCTAGGAAATCACTCATTTCTTATGCCAAAGGTACAATGGTAAAACCCTGTGACTATTGTTTATTTGGTAAGCAGCGTAGAGTCTCATTTCAGACATCGTCTGAAAGAATATTAAATATACTTGATTTGATATTCTGATATTTGTGGTCCAATGGAAATTGAATCAATGGGCGGTAATAAATATTTTGTTACTTTTATTGATGATACTTCACGAAAATTATGGGTTTATATTTTGAAAACCAAAGATCAGGTGTTTCAAATTTTTCAAAAGTTTCATGCTATGGTGGAAAGGGAGACAAGCCAAAAGCTAAAGCGTCTTCGAAGTGACAATGGAGGTAAGTACACTTTAAGGGAATTTGAAGAGTACTGTTCGAGCCATGGGATCAGACATGAAAATGAAAATACGGTTCCTGGAACCCACATCATAATGGCGTAGCCGAAATGATGAACCACATCATAGTGGAGAAGGTGAGAAGCATGCTCAGAATGGCTAAACTGCCTAAGTCATTCTGGGGTGAAGTAGTTCAGACAGCCTGTTACCTGATCAATAGGAGTCCATCAGTTCCGTTGGCGTTTGACATCCCAGAGAGAGTTTGGACCAACAAGGAGGTGTCCTACTCGCATGTGAAGGTGTTCGGTTGTAAAACTTTTGCACATGTACCAAAGGAGCAGAGAACAAAGCTGGAT